AAGCCTAAAATTAAGCCAAAATCTGTTCTAGTTTTATACAAAGAGCTCATCTAACTGGTTGGAAAATATGTTAGGTAGTCCACTAACGTGTATTGACAATTTGAATTTAAAAGTCCTCCACCTACAAAAAGTTGAAAGCGGCTGCAGCTTTGACTAAATAAGGAAAAAGCCCCTGCAAATTAACGCATATTCCTAGCTGATACTCTTCTTCTTGAAACCTTCACAATACAGATGAATAAGCCAGAAGGATTTTTCCAAGCTAAGAGCGTTTTTGCTCACTCTGGCGTCAAATTTTTCTTTGAAGGTGTCAACACATGTCAAAAGATTAATCAACATTCTGTGTTTAGGCGTCAACGACAAGAGAAGAAGGTTCTTGGAGGCAATGCGAAGCTGATTCTCTATGCCGATGATATATCTTATGTGAAGGAAGCCAAGCACGTATCTACTGCATCGGTAAGCATGAAAAACCACGTGCACTTAATAATAATCCGATTATTCCTTTACAGTGGAGGTAACTTTAGACTAAAAATGACTTCTTAAATTTGCCCTCCTGCAACTTTCCCGTCCCACCCTACTACTTTTACATTGTGTAGTATAAGTAGATAGCTTAAAATAAGTCCTCATACTTCTACCAGAAGGACTTTCGGGGGAAACCTCACCGACTTAAGAAAGAGACATTAGCCTTTTTATTTTGACCTCACGAAACCTACGTTACTGTTAAACTAAAAAATGGCTATTTTTCTCGGCCTTTCTGCCGTTTTCCTTTCCTTCCATACTACTTTGACGTGGGGTAGCATAAGCAGATAATCTAAATTAAGTTCTCATACTTTTAACGGAATGACTTTTGGCGGAAAGCTCACTGACTTAGTGAAGAGACTTTAGTATTTCGATTTTGACACTACGAAATTACAGGTAATGCGAGACTAAGACGGTAAATCCTATTGTTGATAAACACAATTAAATCAGTTAAACGATAAATTTCTGAATTTGCCAAATGCCATAATTTAAATGCCGTTTAAAATATGGTTCTATCTGATCAAGGAGAGATTAAAATGCGGTAGACAGACTCAACTCCTGCGTGCGGTAGTTTGGGTCTGGATATTCTACCATGTGCGATAAGAGAGAACATATGAACGTATGAGAGAGCATACTGTAGAATGTGCCAGAATTCTTGCAACATGTCGATCTATGCGAAAGATTTATACTCTTTCACTAATCGGCATTGACTCATTTTGTGATACTGATTATCGTGTAGTCTATTCTAAAAAATATTTTAGTCACGATAGGAAGCGGGCTTTTCAGCGAGCTTCGTTCTGGCCACTAACAAAGCGCAAGTACTATAAAAATTAATTGTCTTTATAAATTCAAATATATTTTATGGAAAGCATGCAAGAAAAACATTTTTGTACTCATTCTGTAGCAGATTACGCCTTTGCTAAATTTTATACTTAAAGAAAGGATATCTTTCAGTTTTAAAAATTTCTAATCATGAGAATTTTTATGATTCTGAGGTGTTCCTTCATAAAAAATTCTATCCGTCAATTTATTACTGCTGCCTATACGGTTTAAAGCATGTTACACACCTATCGCAAAATTTACGAGAACTATGTGACACCTTTCGCAAACTGTACACGAAAACGTACTCTTCCCTAAACAGGATGCACAATGTACACCTTGAATTCGACTGGAGCAGACAGTAGGTTTCAAAATTATTCGGTAATTTGAAACTTTTTTTAAAGCCGAAATAAACTCTTTCTTTCAATATAAAATTTCAAGAAAGCGTAATCTGCTACCAAAATAGTCTAAAAATATTTTTTGATGCGCGTTTCCATAAAATACAGTTGAATGTATAAAGGCAGTCAAAATCAATGATAAAAACGCATACTATTTAAGTAGTCACTTTGGTAGGATTGTGTCGTGGGGTCGTCTGAGGAAAGTGTGAAGCGCGCCCCGCAGGCATACGACCGAGTGATTTTAAGGGACAGGACAAGCGGGCACGCTAGGGAAGAAATTAGAACCCAACTTAAATACCCAATAAAAAAGTTACGAGGGCAAGTTGGGTCGCGCACTCAAAC